CATTAAGGCTGCTGTAGTAGCCAAAAACCTTTTTCAAGGCATCCAAAGTTCCCATGTCGTCAAGGTTGACCTCACTCATGATCGCCATCTTGAGTCGGCGACCATCTTCAGCATTGTCGTGAACATTCTCTAAATATTGAGACTGGATCTGTCTCATGCGTGGGCCTTGTGCCCGCTCACTCCCAACCCCTAGGAAGTCTACCCAGCCCAGACCTCCGCTTGAGCTGATTTCACTATTGCGTTGTCGGTTGCTTGTTCCCAAGGTGATGTCGCGGCGCTCACATGGAGGCCCACAAATAGAAAGGCCTATGAATTTCCCTCCGATGGCTCCACCAACGCCAGAATTACCACCGAGTGAAGATCCCTTAACATGTGCTTCCTCTTCGTAGACCCCATCTACAAGAGCAAACATGCCAGGGGCAAGCCAAGAACCATCTTCCGGGACAATTCGCCCATGACTCAGATCAAGAACAATACTTCCGGTTTGGTCACTTAGAGAGAGCTCCCCCGTGGGTGACACTGAGAGTAAGCCAAGGATTAGGTGGGAAGTCCCGCTTCTTCCCAGCAGATTTGCGACCGGCGTCAGTTTGTAGCCGGTTAATGATGTTCGCTGTGATATCGACTGATTAGACAACCCTGCTGATGTTTGAAATGACTCGTTCCGAAGGAGCCGTTGGTGAACGATGTTGTAGCGGTCTCTGAAAAAGGCAGTTTTATGAGACGGCGACGGAAATAGTGAGGGCTTTGATTTAGTAATCTCGAAATACTTCATATCCCCATGATATGTTAAGCGTGGAATATCAAATGCCTCAATAATCCTCAACCATTGCCTTGGATGTAGAGCCAAGTCAGCCTCTTCGGACTTTCCGCCTTCAAGGGTGTTTGCTGCAAGAACAGTCTCCGAAATTAAATTCCTGCTGTTCAAGCTTGGACTTCGGCTTGAGGTGGCCTCATGTGCCGATGTATTCTTCCCCGCGACCATTCTCCCTCCAGTCAAATTACCCTCCAGGACTTGCAAGATAGCCTTCAATGAGGCCCCTTTACCTTCATCAACAATCACACCACCTCCGGCTTTCCTCCAGCTCTTGGCAACTTCATCCAGCACACGTTCAGCAAGGCCATCTTCCCGCCATCCCGAGCCACAGTTCCTTCCCACGAAATTTGCTAAGGTCTGGAGAGCAGACGATGAGATCGTGAGGTTGTGCTTCCGCGTAAAAGTCCGAAAGGCCACAGGACGAAGAGTAGAGGGTGGAAGTAGAATGGGAAGGATCGAGGTTCGCGTGGGAGCGTGATTGGGTGTGGTCTTTCGAAAAGGGTGCGCAGGAGTGCCAAATCCAGGCGACGATGAAGGGACCGGATCCAGATCCATGCTTGAGGCTCGAGATAAATCTTGGCGTTGGGAAAGAAGTGTTGGTAACTGCCTTTCGGTTGCAACAATAAGACCAAGAGACAACTCAACCTGTTCTTTCGGTAGGGTGATCGCGATTGACCCTCGTGAGCAAAAGCGTGATATGCCTAGAATACCCCCTGATTCGTTGTTGTCTTATGTGAGTCCTCACAATGGTCGCGAGTGGAGATAATTCAGTACCGAATCCGATAGCTAGCTCTCTTGCCCGAGCGGGACGCGAGGTTGTCGCGCGGCGCACGCGCCTTCCCGCGATAAGTAATCGCGGGAGGTCTTTTATTTCTCTGTCGGAAAACTAGTCATAAACCACTTGACGCTGACCTATATGCTTAGGCGAGTCGCCCTAGTCAACTTGATAACTTATAACTATTTCCCTTCCCGGTCCTTTGCTCACTGGTTTATCGCCCTCCTTGTGACTCGAGTCGCCCTGCGCAGTTCATCGCATCCTGCATCCCGATTGAGTTCTGTATGGGTTGTCCATCCGATGTCTCTGATGATTTTCCCTTCGCACTGCTGACTAGAGCTGCAATCATATCTATACCTATAGTCAATTCCTTTCAGATAGCTAACATGGCGGAAACAAATGACTTGGGTGTCGCCCCACCCCGAGGAGATTGCGACGGTGATGACCGGGCGTCCTTAGACAATCTTATCAGTCAAGCTGCAGCGAAAGACGCAATCAAAGATTACAGCGCGGCCGCGGAGCTTTATTCCGAGGCTACGGAGCTTCAGGCGAAACTGAATGGCGAACTAGCACTCGACAATGCTGATCTTCTCTTCGCTTACGGGAAAGCCCTTTATAACGTTGCTGTTAGTAAGAGCGATGTTCTTGGATCAAAGGTGGCCACCGAGCCCCCTTCTCAATCCAACAATCCAACACCGACAGCAGAGAGTGTCATTCAAGATGCCATCGTCCAGGCGCAGTCTGCAGAACCAAGATCTGAAGTCAAGGCCAAGCCGACCGATGATACGAGCAAACCATACTTTCAATTTACAGGCGACGAGAATTTCGACGATTCCGATACTGAAGACGAAGATGATCCCCCACTTGTCGAAGAGGAGGAGGATGACTTTGCCAATGCCTATGAGGTTCTCGATCTGGCGCGTATACTGTACCAGAAGAAGCTAAACGCATTGGAGGAGGATGCCGGGAAAGGGAAATCTGCGAAGGCACCCTCAAGCCTCAAGCAACTCAAAGAACGACTTGCTGATACGTATGACCTACAAGCTGAGATCTCACTCGAAGCTGAAAGGTTTGCGGATGCAGTGGCAGATTTGAGGACAGCTTTAAGTTTAAGACAGTCGCTGTTCCCCATGGAAGACCCCTCCGTTGCCGAATGCCATTACAAGCTTTCCCTCGCCCTCGAATTCGCATCGGTGAGCAAAGCTAACGACGATGCCCAAACTGAAGATGGTAAGGTCGATGAGGACATGGGAAAAGAGGCTATTATACAAATGGAGCACGCTATTGAAAGCTGTCGAGTCAGAATGGCCCAGGAACAAGCGAAATTGGATATGAATGACTCACCGGATGAAGATAAGGCCATCGCCATGAAAAGAAAGATAGCTAATGTGAAGGATATTATTTCCGACATGGAGCAAAGGGTAAGCCCCCGCCTTGCATTTCTGTTTTTGTTGGGAGCCTCGACCCTCACATCTATTTGACAGCTCGTCGACCTCCAACGCCCTGTCGCCTCATCCTTGAAAGCTAGCGATGTGGAAGACACCATGCTTAGAGGCATCCTGGGTCAAATTGTAGGACAACCTGTTTCTGAACGAAAGGCTCGACTTGACGCAGTCACCGAAAATGCAAATGACTTATCTGCATTTGTGAAACGAAAGCCGACTAGCGCCTCTCGGCCCCAAACTGGGGAGTCGACTAAAAGGCGTATGGTTGGAGATAAGACCCAAGACTCCGAACCAAAAAGAGCCCGAACGACCGACCTCAAGGATACGATATAATAGCTGGTGAACTCCTTCAACTCACGTGCATTTCGCCCGTATCTACGGGCTCCGCCCTCCACCTCTCACAATAATGCAAGCTCTCAACGTGAATTTGACGCCAAGTCTCGTTGATAGTGAATTATGATACCCGGTTGATTAAGGACATTGTGCATGAAAATACAAGATAAAATCGTACTCATTGGGTGGAAAGCCCAACCAGTGATGATAAACGCTGCGCCCTGTAGAACTGCAAAAGCTGGTCGGCAAGTGCAACACCCGGACGAAGTTGAAGACTGACAAGATACAGTCGCTCTTGCGGGTTGTCTGGCTTGGAAACTGGTTGGATTCACATTTGTTCCCAGGTCGATAAATCTTTTGAGGTTGATGAGGTTGATCATGATGGGTTGTGTCTGAACCTAGAAAGATAATGTTCCATTTTGCGACTTCTGCGGCGCATAGCTAGACCAGGACTCCAGATTGCGGCGAAGAGATCTTCGCATTCATCCTCATCCTGGCTGTCGAATTCTATAACGTCTTCCGACAAGCTTTCCCGGTGTTCTTCAGAGCATGAGGTTTCAGGATCGAGAAGCAGATTGGCCTTCGGTGCAGACTCCCAGAATGGTGACGTTGTAATTTTCTCGGTCTCTAGTATGAACTTGCCGACCTTGTAGCGTTGTGATTCCTCCTCTGCGGAGACATATTTCCAGCCGAGTACAGTTCCACAGAGGGCACAATTTAGATCGCTTACCATGTGCGCACCGGTCACTAATCGTCGAGGTATGGGTTTTTGCACAATGGTATTTGGGAGACAATCTGTCGCTGCGGAAGATGGACTAATAGAAACCGCACTGGCAATGATTCGTGCAGACACAAGCAACGCGCGGCCATGACGGCCAGTGAAGCCTTTGCTGATAATTTGCGATGTCAAGCATAAATCGGCCGCGCAATGAGAGCAACGGATACAGGACACATGGCCCATCAAGAATTTATTGGTGTCGTTGCTCGTCTCCTCTAAACAAGGTATTGGGTCTGGTCCAGAGGACGGTCCCTGGGTTGCAACCTGCCTGGGGCGCAAGATACCTGGACGAAGTAGAAACTTAGGAAACATCGGAGCGTTTACCACAACTGTATTGCAGGTATGGTCAACAGAAGTATCATCAGATAACCTCCACTCAAAAGGACCAGTGGGTGATTGGAAGAATATATCTTCTGGAATTTGACTACCTCATAGCTAATGCTAACTATAGCATAGGTAGTCCTGAGGTCATCTCCGCGTGATCCGCCATTTGTCCCTTGGCGCCCGCAACATCGGCCATTTCCGTGATAAGGGTGATTCATTACAGGCATGTATCGTAGGAGAGCCGATATGCGACAATTGGAACCACCGAACACACCATTGCACGTAAGAGCCCCGGGAGTACAATTGAGCCTACAATGATTCGAATTGCTTCTAAAAGTAGGCCAACAAGCATCATCAGGTGGTGCCGGATATTTCAGATTACTAAGACATGTTAGGAAACAGGAACCTTAGGAGTGTTGCTCGACGCAAAGTAGACAAATAGGTTGCTGCACCAGAGGAAATCACCACTACACGAGTAGCCATAGTATCATAAGACTCGGACTTCTAAAGAAAGCGGACATGTCCCTTTGATTATACCTCGGCGCTTAAGAAGAGCCACTTGTCGCTCAATGTATGATTGAGGTCATTTTCAACACTCCATTGTTGCAGGGTAGTTAGATTAAAACCACACCACCCAAGGTTCCTTACGATTTCGAGCTCGACCGCATTGTGCGAACGCGGGATACAAGCAACAATTTGCAAGCATTGGAATGCACTAATACTTGCAAGCTCGAATAATGCCACCAAACTAGATGAGGTCAAGATTAGTAAGCACGAATGATGAATGTGCTGGTTTATGAAGGCCCGACCAGATTTGAGATCACATACCCAGTCTTGAGGCCGTGGCCCAAAGTTTGGTCAGAGAAAAACACGAATATGGTTGGTTGGCCATCACTCGTGATAGTCACAAACCCTCGATAAGTAACGTCATTTGTGTAATCCAGAACTTCGAGCCAGTGCTGGATCGGCGTGTGCATGCCCTCGACAATTTCTGGCTGGCTTTGATACGCACCCATCCCAGGCGGCTCCTGCTCAGTAAATCTCCTCTCACCAAGGAATATCACAGACAGGTGCTCGCAGAAGAGCCTCTCACACTCTTCCGGAATAGCATGCGTTGCCTCCCCTTTATGCTCCAATAAGTTGTTCCCTGGCCAGCTGATTCCCATGCCGGGAATGATGGACAAGTCAAGGGGAGGACGTGAAGGCGGCTTAAACCCTGAGGGGACCTCAGGGATACCACTGTGCTCCTGCGTACCGTGCTACATTAGCATCTGTGGATGGAGCAGGCACCTTCCTTGGGAAAGAGTATCTTACCGGTGCCCATAGTAGTGCAGTAGTGGAACCCAGTAACTGCGGAGGTGATAGTATTCACACTGTAACAGCTTGCAAGAACGCTGACCCGACGGGTTCTCTCAGAGCACCGTTGCAGCTGACTACCACTACTACTGATATCGTTTGATGATTTGGCCATAGTGGGAACTTGACGAAGGAGAGAAACTAGGGACTGATTGTACGCTTAGGAGGGGTTATGAATGTTGTAGGCTTAGTAAAAAGACTTCTTGAGTCACCGGATTCTTCGATGACAATGGACCGTCGAAAGGAATAACAAGAGTGAAGATCTTTGGGAGAGGTGTTGCAACTCGATAGGATGACGATGTTAGGTGGCAGGTTTTTGTAATCAACGGCCTGACGGGTTGGAGAAGTGATAGATCACAGAAGGGGGCTGCGAGTGGATCCGTCCACTCTGATACGCGCGGAAGTACGTACTCATACTCGTATCATATGACCTCGGGGCTGATGGGATATCAAACCCCACTCTGCCGATCTCCCGGCGATAGGTATCGGTAAGAGGGAGACATACACGGACTTCTACTCCGGATCGCAGGGTGTTTATACTCAATACTCTATTACATAGTTTAGGGGTCACAAGTCTGGTCATCGCCAAGATGGGAATAAGAGCATCCATAAGGCCGGCATAAAGGGCTTGATTGACAAGGGAAGTTCATCCATATACGCAAAAAATTAACTGGATTGATGCTGGTTAATAGTACACATATCATGCACCGTGAGAATTAGAAAGAATGGTAGAACAAAAACTCCCGTGAAGTTGTGATCTAAGCAAGGGATCGGAGTCTGAAAGAGATACGAGGATGCCAGCGCTGAAGGCAGGGTTTTCACAGAGCTATGGCCAACACCAGGAAATATTCTCAGAGTTCCCGGTAATCGCTCGGTCTCGTCCTTCGATGTCTTGCCTGGTGTCGTTGCGGGTTAACAGGCTGACGAAAATATGCAGTGTCTTCTTCTCTGGCAAAAGGAGTACTAAAAGCGGTTCGCTGCTGGTTTGAGAATTGGCCAATTTCTAGGCCCTGCGAGAAGTCGGTACTTGGCTGGACTGGCCCATTCATCTGTGACATAGGAAACATGCTAAAACTCGAGTCGGCCGCATTGCCAAACATACTTGCGCTATAGCCACCCATTTGATCACCATACATTACACCAGGGAGTTGGTTGAAACTCGCACCATTCATCGGGTTCCAAGGCTGGTTGATGTTCGGTGGAAACCCATTGGCCGCAGGAATGCCCATATAATTCAAGAAACCGGCCCCTTCAGAAGCAAACCCAGGAGCAGGAAATGGTATCGCAGGCATTCCTTGGGTTTGCGCGAATCCAATTCCTCCAAAATTCATTTGCTGAGCAAAAGGTGGCTGCTGGAAGCCATTGGGTGAATCTTTAGCCTGCGAGGCCTGCACCTCGACAGAAGATTTGCCGTGAGAGTCACTCTTTTTCTGTTTCTTCGAAAGAGAGCTTGGGCTAAGACCTTCGGAGGCAGTGCTGATAGGCTCACCATCCGCAGGCCTCTTTTTCGAGGCCGTTGGCGCAGTTGACGGGGCTAGGGCAGGTGAGACCTCTTTCGCTGCCACGGAGATTTGGCCTGAACCAGATGCTTTACTGATTGCTTGAGCCTCTTGCTCCACTGGCTGCTTTTCTTTTTCTTTCTTCTGATCTGTCTTCTCGGTTTCGTATTCTTTAATTCTGGCAATGGCGTCATCGTCGACTGACAGATTATCAAGAAGAACGCCCTCTGTTCCACATCCAGGACAAACGAAGTCACTCTCAATCAATGCGTTCGCGATGCAGTCGTTGCAATATGTTTTCTGGCAGCATGGGGTTTTGGTGGGCTCCAGAAACATTCTTCTGTCTATTGGACATTCTAGGCCACGTGCTTGAAGTTCTTTGCTGTGTTCTGCCGCAGCAGCTTCGGCGGCGGCGGCAGCAGAAGCTTTGGCTTTTTCTTGATAAAGCTCCCAGGCGGCCTTATCTGGTTTCGCAATGACAAAATCGCCATCAGCGTTGACCATAACGCCGGTATTTCTTGAATCTTCATTCGAGCCATCCATAGTGAGGTTCTCGGGCTTGTCTACTTTGGTTTGAAGTGACCGCGGTATTCCGGTGGAGCGTTTCACTCTGTATTTACCGTCAAATTTGGGGTCGTTATTCGTAGGGCACTCATGTATGAAATGTCCTACACATTTGGTCAGCGAGGCTTCTCCATAGAGCTTGACACATGCAAGAACTCACCCTTCTCGCGACAGCGGTAACAGATATACCCCGGGGGCATAGGACGCTCTTGGGAATTCCCAGGCACGATCTTACCCCTCCCACGACCGAAAGGGACGGGTGTGGCGCTGTAGGATATTAGAAGATTGTGTTGTTATGATAAAAGATCTGGCAAACACCGGGATTTTGTACTCACTTCGCCATTTCTTGCTGTTGCTCTTTCCATTGATGCGCCTGCAGATTGAAAAGGGCATTAATCTTTTCCTCTTCAGTCTGGGCATTATTGAGTTCGAGAACGCCGTTGCTGACGGGTTGACTATTGAGAGAAGTTCGAATTGATGAAAATTGGTCATTACGAGGAGTGCTGCGCGCATTGACTGGCATTTTCCCGGACACATACCGGGCGGCGCCGCCTTTCCCTGGCCTTGATGCTGGCAACCTCCGAGCTATGACTGAAGTCGATCGCGGTATGATGTTGGTGTCGTCATCGTATTCTGCTCGGGATCTTTGTTAGCAAATGTCGATTACATTTCGACTCCTTATTTGAATGCTCGTGAGCAAAGTGGAGAGTCGGCCTCTTGGGAAACAGATCGTAGAAACTGACTAACCTTCTCCAGTATCCTCATTGTAGACAGAGAGCTCAAAATCGGTTCCATCCCCCAACCTACTTTGATTGATAATCTCTCGTTTCAGCTCGAAGACGGATATACCGGTGCCATCGAAAGTTACCCGGGAGGGTTCTTTTTGGGACTTGAACTTGAAATGAACAGATGATGACATTTTATTCAATTGGAAGTCCAATGATTGCGTTGTCAATGTAATTAGATCAAAAGGAGAATGCCACTTTCACAAAAGATACACGGGAGAACAAGGTAGACAATTGGTAACAGCAACGAACGGGAGGGCTTGCAGATCACAAATAACAGATTGACTTGCAAACAGTCTCTTGCATTCAAGTTCAGAGACCGAAGGACTACCCTTGCTCGAAGGCGTTGCTCGAATATGTAATGAGGACTTCTCTTCTAAGCTGGGTGGTCACGAATGACTGTATACAGACAAGTCTGACGATTGTGACGAATACAAGGATGATGCAAGCAATTCTGCGAGGGTCGAGAGAGAATTTGAATAAATGTTTTGAGGGCTTTGCTAGTCCAAACCTGAGCTAATTGAGCTTCCCTCTAACCTGCAATGACGACAGATTTAGTAGGATAACCTCGGTCGTGGAGCGATAACGATAGGGTTGTAGAAGATCGATAAATTATGGGCTCACGAGTGCATATAGACAAGAGGATGAGGAAGAGAGAAGGACCCTAATATACTCGCGCAGCAAGACTCCTGGGTGACTGTCCGGTCGCGAAAGGAAGCATGCGCACAAAGAACAGGCCGAAGACCTAATTCACAGAAGAATCAAATTAAACCAAATTTCAAAGAGTACTTCGGTCTGAATATTAAAGGGACAAGGGCAGAGATGGGCTTGGCAAGATGTCAAAAGGATCGTCTGTGGATGGCGAGGTCGGTCGAGAGGTGGTGGCAACCATTCAAAGGTGGATGGATAATAGATAATGGTCTTTCTTTCAATGTAGTCACATGATTAGCTTGTAGTAGTTCGTTAGTTAACTATCGAAGGTAGTTAGTTATTCTAAAACAGTTAGTTAATATAATTAGTAAGCCACCCGCTATGATAAGCCATCCGCCATCCACGCACATCAGTCTTGCATTCTTTAATATAAAATAATTTAACTAATAATAATTCTACTAAATATATCTTAATTATTAAATTATTTAGTAAAATAAAAGAACTGAATCTATCTTATTATTAAGGCTATCTAAAAAAATAAAGTTCTTCTTATAGTAGAAGTAATATATATATTTAATATTTTATATTTTAATTTTATAAAAATATCTGTAAGAAGTTAATATTAAATTAAATAGATATATTAATTTTATAGAATTGATTTATTTTAAAAAAAGACTTTAAAAAATTAGATTTTTTTATTTATAAAGTATAGACTTTATTTCCGGCTGTTATATATTTAGAATATAATAATAATTGTTCTGCAAAAATAAGATTTAAATTTTATAACTTTTATAAATAAAAAATAAATATATAACTTTATTAAATATACTCCAAAATTAAAAAATTAATTTTTATAAAAATATTATATTTAATATATAAAACATAAAAATCTAAAGTTTTTAATTAAATAGTTTAATTATATTAAAACTACTAAAAAATATAATATTCTTATTTAAAATATATAAAATTTTAATAAAACTAATTTTATTATAGAAATAGTAGCTATAGTTTATATAATTATATAATCTAATTATATAAATAAATTATTTTTTATACAGCCAGAATATTAAAAATAAATAATTTTAATTAAGTATATAAATATAGGTGGTATAGTATTATTATTATACTTAATTTTTAAAAATAAAGTTTATATAAAGATATAATATTAAGATCTTTTTTTATTTAATTAGTATATTAATTTATTACCAAATAGTTAGACTTTTAATAATATTAGTTTATATTAACTTTATAAATATTTTATTTTTTTACTAAAAACCAATAAATCAAATAATTAAGTTTTTTAATTTTTAATAAATTGTTACAGTACAGACTTAAAATATCTATTTTATCTGTTTGATCTATTTAATCTATTTTATTCTAATAATCTGACTGTTTTTTCTAACTATTTTATATATAACCTGTAATCTTCTTAATTATTTATTTATTTTTAATTCTATTTATAGTTTTGTAAGCTATATTTTACTTATAAAATTAAAAACAATCTAATCTAATAGCTAATGAAAAATTTAGAAAACTAGTTATAAAAATTATGTAGCTAGAACTATTATTTTTATTATTTAACTAGATTAAAGATAGATATTAGTCTACTTTTTAATATCATATAATTTATATTTTTAAAAATAATAGTTTTAATAAAACATTAGTAATTTTATAATTTCTAGTAATATCTAATATTTTTAAAAAATTTATTTAATATATTAAAAAATATTCTAAAAAATAGTTCTATCACTATAACCAAATCTATATTTATATTATAAAAATCTAAAATAAATTAACTATTTAAAAAATACTTCTAATCTTTTAAGTTAAATAATTTTAATTGAAAAATATTTATAATTTAAAAATTTATCAATATTATTATTATCTATAAAATAGTTTTTTTAAAAAAATCAAATTTTAAATAAATATATTAGAACTATTTAGATTACTATTTTTATAGTAAATATTATAGTATAAATTTTAAAATCTATATTTATTATTAAGAATACTGCAGTTAGTTTAATAAAAATAATTATATTAATTAATTTTAAATCTTTTATTTTTTTTAAATATTTATTTGATTTTAATAAGTTTAAAAATAACTGCTCCGATCTTTACTAATTTATTTTTTAAATTAAAAAATAAATATAAATATTAATTAATATATTATTATTATTATCTAAAAGTTATATATAATTAACTACTTAAATAAGATATTATATATCTAAATGTAATTTTATATTAAAAATAAAAAATATAATCCAAATAATTTTATCAACATTTTATATTTATTTAAATATTTTTTTAGCAATTCTAATTATACTAGAATTATATATAATAAATTATATTAATTAAAATAAGAATTTTATAGTTTTATAATATCCTTTATTAAATTTAAATATTTAGTCTTAAAAGTATATATATATTTAAGTATTTTTTTATACTTAAGAATTATATTAGCTAAGATTTTAAAAATATATTTTTGATTAATTTTTTTTAAAAAGACTATTATATAATAGCAAATCTAATAGACTATTAGACTATAGCTCAATTTAACTAGTTTATTTTATTTACTTAGTCTATTTTTTATACTAATAAAATAATACTGTAGAAATATATAACTATTTTTTCTTTTTTTTATACTTAAGATTTTATTAAAATAGTATTAAATTAATAAAACTAAATTAATCTAACTGGCTGTTATATAATTTTAAGTATTATTTTTATATATATTAACTTTCTGATATATAAAAAATATATATATTTTTTCTATTTTTAAAATTTTTTCTATTATACAAGTCGACGGTAAAAATAGTTAGTTTTAAAGAATTTATATTTAAAAAATATAAAATAAAAAAATTATAAATTCTAATTAAATTTTTATTACTGTAGCTGTAGGCTATATAATAATGAAAAAATAAAAAATTTTAAATAAATTTTTATATATAATTAAACTGTTACTAAAATTAATAAATTTTATTAATATTACTATTAGCTGCATAAAACTAATAAATAAAAATCTAGATTTTCAATTAAATTTAATATCAAAATAACTATAATAGTATATAATATATTAAAATTTAAAAATTTAAAGATAAATTTTATTTAAAAATAAGATTAGTAAGATTTTTAAATAGAAATTATCTTATTTAAAAAAATTTATAATTTTCATAAAAAATTTTTTAAATATATCTTCAAGCTGATACTAAAAATTTATAATAAATTTAAGAAAAAATTAAAAAACTATTAGCTAAAATAATTAAGCTAAAAAATCTAATATAACTAAAAGTTAATTATAATATCTTATTTTATAATATTAATTTTCTAGAAACTAAAAAAAATTTAAAAACTAACAAAATATAGACTATAGTATAGAAAAATATTATATTAATTTTAATAACTAATATGAGCTATAAATTTTTAAATATTAAAAAAACTTTAAATTTTTCCGATTTTCCGATATTTAATAATAAAAAATATAATTTTTAAAGATTAAAAGCTAGTAATTATATAAAAGCTTAAAACTAATATTAACTATTATAAAAATCTAATTATAAAAAAATATATATTATTGATTATGATGAAAATAATATTTATAAATATTTATTTTTTAAATTAAAAATTAAAACCGAATTTTTTTTTTAAAAAATATAATAAATATTTTATTTTATTTAACTATAATCTATATTAATCCGAACCGAAAACAAAATATCAAACCAAAATATATATATCTTAAAATAATTTTTAAATAAAAATTTTATAACTTTTAAATTTAATTCTATTATCTAGCTAGTAAAGCAGATATTTTAATAAATTTTTAAAAATTTAATTTTTATTAGAAATTGCTTTTAAAGCTTAAAGAACTAATTTTTATTAAGTTTTATAAATTTAATACTAATTTTAAATAGTATATTATTATATATGGTATAATTTTTAAAAAAATATAAATAAAAATATAAAATACTACTGCCGAATCTTTTTTATGAATTATAAAAATAATTTAAATAATAAAATTATTATAGTAATTAATAAAAATAAATTAAATAATAAAATTATTATAGTAATTAATAAAAATAAATTAAAATCCTAATTAAATCTTATATAAATAAAAAAACCTATACTATATTATTAGCTAAAGAAAAATATTTTTATTATAATAAATCTAAATATTCAAATTATAAGTATTTTAAAAAAAAATATTTTTAATTTAAGCTATGAAAAAATCGGATTTAAAAATATTTTAATAAAAAACTTTATCTAAAAAAAGTTTTTATTTCGAAGTCTTTGTTTTTATAATATTAAATATAAACCAGCAGTATATTAATCTAAAAATATTATTAAAATTTTTTAAAAATAATTTTATAATTAAAACCTTAATTTTAAAGAATATAATAGGTATTTTTATTAACATTTTAATAAATATCAAAATAGATATTTAAATTTATATTAATATAAAATTTATAGTTAAAATTAAGATATTTTTTAAAATAAAATTATTTAAATTATAAAATATTTGAAATATAATTAGATTTAATAAAAAATTCTCTACTTTTCTAATATATGCGATTTATTTTAACTTGATAATAAAAAAATAATTTTTTATCTAAATTTTTTTTCTAGTATTAGATCTAGAATTATATAATATAATTTTAAAAAAATTATAGTTAATAAAATAAAAAATCTTATCTAACAATTATAAAAATTAATTAATATAATCTAATAAACTTCTACTTAAAGATAAGATTTA